GAGAGAGAGAGAGAGAGAGAGAGAGAGAGAAAGCAGGGGGAGGGACACAGACAGGGGAACAGATGATCTGAAGCAGGTTCCGTGCTGACAGCAGTGAGCCTGACGCAGGGCTTGAATTTGCAAACCATGAGATCACAACTTGAGCCAAAGTCAGGACGCTTAACCTGACTGAGCCACCCAGGCGCCCCCTCCCTGACTTCTAAACAAAGAACTCCCTACCTGTTCTCTCTTTCTAGGAGATAGCTTATCCAAGCTCATCAGGGCTCATTCCCACCTATACACTTGGCCCTCCAGGCCGGACCCCTTCACCCACCTGCGGACCCACCTGTATCAGTCAACATTTCCACCTGCATATCCACTGAGCACCTCTACCTGAGCTTCTGCTCTTCCTGCCCAAACCTCTTCCCACAAATCTTCCCATCTCAGGATGGCACCTCCATCCTTCAGGTGACTGAGGCCAAACACCTTGGAGTCATTCTTAACCCTTCCCTGTCACATCACATATATCCAATCTGCAGCCTCTAGCTTAAAAACTGATTTAGAAACCGACCACCCTTCACCTCCTCTACCAGAATCACCAGTCTGTGTTCCAGTGTATCATAGGAGCCTCTTAACACCTCTCTTTGTAAACCTCTAGTCTACTTCCAAACAGCAGCCAGAATGATCATTTGGGACCTGAGATGGATTCTATCTTCCTTCTACTTATTCCTCCAGTGATTCTCCATCTCACCCAGGGTTAACATTCAAACCCTTACAGTGATGCACAGGTCCTTTCTTTACAACCAGACCCTAAAAGGTCTCTGCTACTCTCTACCCAGCTCTCGAACACTCCAATACTCTCTAGCTCCCTTCCCTGTTTTGTCTCCGTAACACTGACCACCATCTGACCTAATGGAAACGTTACTTATTTGTCTCTTTGTCCTAACCAGAACCTAAGTCCATGAAGCATGGATTAAAAAAAAAAAAAAAAAAAAAAAAAAAAAAAAAATCCACCACATCCTCAGTGTCAGGAGTAGTGCCTGTTCTGTAAAATGAACAAATGGGTCCCCAGCTCTCCATATGAGAAGTGGGAGAGGGAGGACAGTGAAGGGATGGGAAGTAGGCAGGTCAATACCCTAACTACTTCCTTTATGCCCAAAAACTTACAGACAGAACAGACTTTACACCTGTGGTGCTTTTCCACATGCCACCACTGGGCGGCAGCACCAGACCACCAAGCTCCAAGAGGGGGCGGGGCAGGGGTGGGTGGGTGCGCGGGGGCTTGCCATATTAGCCCAGCCCTAGCAAATGCTCACCTTTGAGGTTAGATACTTGTTGGCCTTGGGTCTTGCTGAAGAGAGACAGCTCGTTGGTGATGGACTCCAGCATCTTCACAAAGTTGGGCAGGAAGAGGATGACCTGGACATCGTGGTTGGCCAGATGCCTTCCACAACTGATCCCCTGAGCCCCTTTCACATGGGGGCCACACAGCAGGGCCACTGTAGGCCTCTGGTGAACATTTTTGGGATTCAACCTGGAACAGAAGGTAAATAAGCGCTATCAGCTGCAGACCTGCCAATCCCTTGCACCCTAAACCAGACGAGTGCACCCGTTGCTCTCAGAGTTTTTGACAGTCCCAGGCCCCGAGGGGGCCAAAATCCACAGCATCCCAGGTCTACAGGGTGGCACTGGCCCTGTCCCACACATCAGTGTCATTTCATCTGCTGGGTCCTCTCACTAGGCAGTTCACCCAGATCTTGTTCCATATAACACGGTTGCCAGAACACTGCTTTCCGATCAAACCACCGAACTGTTCTATGTGTCCTGTGAGGTCCAAATCCTGCTTAGCAAAGACGCTTCTCTACCTCTACAGCTTTCACTCTTCTTCCCCAACATGCTGCTCCACTGAAGCAAGGCTGGCCCCGCTCTGTCCTGTACCTGTAAGGCTCCTTCCTGCTTCTCCTTGTCAAATTCTGACCCACATTTTCTTTGAGATCCAGCTCAAGGCTCACGTCTTCCAGGATTACTCTGGCTCAACTCCTAAGAAGCTCAGAGCAAGTACTGAAAATGGCAGTTCTAAATCGTCCTCAATCAGTTGCCAAACGAAGTTCTCTTTACCAAGCTGCCAGTAAGCTAATAAGGGCAACACTGTAGGTACGGATGGTACCTCTTCCCTGGAATGCTGTGTGGATCAATGGAGGTATAGACAGCATTTAAACAGGGCCTGACACATTATAGCACTGGTCACAGAGGAGGCAGCAGGCTCGGGGCTTCCTGGTCTCCTAGGCTGGCAGCTCCCTTGGATACCCACTTCCTGATGAAGTCATTTCCAGCTCCTGCCATTCAAAGCTGAGCCACAAGTAAGGAGGTTTGGAGGATTAACTCTGGAGCTGTTCCCAACCCACAGACAGTACGCTCTGCCTCCAGGGCAGAAGGCAACTAGAGACGGACAGCAAAAAACAGGCTCAGGTCCCTGCTTAGCAGTGACCGTCACCTACTCTCCCAAAGGGAGGAAGATGACAGATGCTGTTCAAGTCAAAAAGGAAACCTCTGTCCTCCAAATAAATTCTAGGGAATTTAGCAATGCACTCTACCTATACACCAAACCATTTCATTTCCCCCACTACGTTTGCATCTTAAGGAAATACGACAAGTACTTCTCCCTTCAGACAGATACTGCTGCGCTGTGGCGTCTGACTCACCCGAGTCTGTTCCTGAAACGGACTCTTCCTCTCACAGAGGCACCCTGTCAGGACTCAAAGCAGACCATGGCACCGCCTACCCCACGGCAGGGGGCAGAGTCCAGGCCTATCTGGGAGGGAGACCGGCTCCACCAAGTACCAGCAGTGTCAACGTGGCAAGTCTTACAGCTCTGTGAGCCTCAGCCTGCTCAGCCTCAAACACCAGGCTAGATTTACCTTCGAAGTGAAGTTATGAAGATCAAATTCAACACTGTTGTGCAAGCACAGTGATAAACCATATGGGACCCCACACACATGACAAAGATTACTGGCTGTGGTGATCTTTCTCAAAGGAAAACCAGCAACTGCTGCAAAGGAGCTGGAGGTGGCCTCCTGAGAGTTCCAACGCAGGGAGAAGACAGGCACAAGGACAACCGGCCCCAAGAAGCCAGCTGGAGAGGAATGTGACCTGGTGAGGACATTCGCACCCTGCCCCCACACTGCTGTTTCTTTGGCAGCTCCCGACTGCTCAGCTGGTCCAAAGCCCTACTTTCCAGCCACACAAGAGTGACTTTCCAGATCCCGGCCACTCCCATGCCCTCAATTCCCTCTGCCCTCGGCGCCTTCCCTCCTGACACCTGCTCCTGCCCTCCCTTCCTGCTTGCCCCGGTGAATTCCCCCTTCTCCACAGGACGCAGCTTAGATGCTGCTGCTCCAGGTAGGACAACTGACTTGCCCAGCCTGGAGTAGGACTGTGGCTTCCTGTACGTTCTTGTTTCCTCTACCACAGCATCGTACTTTCTGGAGACCTCACCAGCCTTCCGGAGGGCAGGAGCAGTATTTCATTCTTCTTTGTGTCCCTAGTCCTAGCACAAGGATTGACTCATGATCTCAGTAAATGACCACAAATAAAATTAAGCACTGCTCTTGATATCTGGGCCCAAGGGCAGGTAGGAAGGCACCGAACTCCAGCTCTCACAGAACCCAGTTGTCAGGGTGGCTCCAGAAGTTCTCAGATATGGAACTTGGGGTTGATTTGTATCCCAGCCTGTCTGAAGTGAATGACAAGTGCCAAAGGCTGCGTCTCTGAAGGCTCACAGAAGGCAGGCCTCTGGTGGCCAGCAGGAGTGTCATGAACCAGCTATTATCAGGGAGAGAAAGGGTCAAAGGGTTAAGAGGGGCAAAAAAAAGCCTCGCAGCACCCAGGAAAGTGACTTCACAGAGGGACTCACACTGACAAACTCCTCCGCGAGCAGCACCTGCCCACCATTCTGTCTCCTGCCGGTCTGGAGGCATTTATTTACCTGTTGGGTCCTCCGAGTAGGGTCAATGCCATCTGACTGGCACACACCCCTGTCATCTCCAGTCTCCGCTCCAGAGTCAGCCCGTGCTTCTCGGCCACAGACAACAGCTTTTTATGCAGCTCATAGGAAACACTTGGGACAACCAGGCCCGAGTCTGCAGTTCAAAAGGAGATGAGGAGAGAAAGGGTAAGTGATAACAGGAAACCAGATCCACAAGTGGGTGTACTCAATCCAGGATTCTGTGAAAGCCAAGACTCTAAGACCAACCCTCCCCTGGCCCATCTGCCTGATCGGGACCGGGGTGTGCTATGCAGCCCTCCAGGGCTCAAGTAGTGGACAGGAAGGGAGTAACAACTTGTTCATGTTACCAAAGAGCAGAGGCGAGCTTCAGCGCTCTTAGCAATTTAGCTTTAGCCATAAAAGCCAAGTCTACCAAGATCAATTTTGTTACTACCCAGAAAAGGTGGCACAGCATGTAACAGCAACCTATCGGCCACGTCAGAAGGGAACACGCTTTTCCCAAAGTGGGGGGAACGCCATCCCTGGCAGTGGGGCTAGTCCTCACAAGCAGGACTTCTTCCCCAGAAGTGGAACAAACGCTAAGCCTCCTGACACTCTGCTCCCTGCTGCTCACTGTCTAGGCTGGATGACTTGCTCCCATCTGCTCCCTCCTCCTCCTCCTCTCTTCTACTCTGTCCTTCCTCTTTGCTTAAGAAATTCAACGAGCAACTTGTTTCCTCAAATAATTTGTCGTTTTCTCCCCATCTGGGGTTGAGTGTAACCTAACACTTCTACCTCAGGGAAAGAGTACATAGAAAAAAGCAAGCTACTGAGAAGAATCTTCAACATTTTATTTGCCATAAAGAAAGAAACTCAATAAATGTTAGGGAGAATCACAGTCACTGAAAGCACACCATGGAAAGTATTTGGTTTCGTGAGGCCGAGGTCTGCAGTAGCTGGTACACTTGAAAGAGTCTTACCTGCATCAGTTCCAACACACCAGGAGCTGTTTCAGGGCCCAGGAAAACCAGGACAGGAAAGAAATGCCGAAGTAAAAAACTGTGATCTGTAATGGGCAGCGCATCTTGACAACCGATGCCACCTTACAAATACTAGAAGCCACTGGACTGGCCCCAAGGGAGCAGTCTTTTGACTTTTGCCAAAGAGTCCCATTTTGGCCTTACGGACCAACAGACTGATACACACAGACTCCAACTGGCAAGGCATCATGGGATTGCAGGTAACTAGTTTTGTCTGGCTGGATCAGGTGCCTTTTTAGATCCTGTGTCTTCATCTATACTGGACTGTAAACTCCTCAAAGCAGGGAAATAAAACCTTTCACTTCTTTGGCCCCCCCACCTCTTCAACTTGTCTCAGCAACATTCATCAACAGAGGTGGGTTCTCATCAAGTACTCAAACATACACATGATGCAATCCTGGTGCTATTTCTGGTCTGGCCTAACTCTATGGTAGGAGTTGTCAAGAAGTTCATCATTATCCTACTGGTTCCAGAACCCTCTATAGAAAAACTTGTCTTCCTCACTGATCATTTCAGGAATAATTTCTTGAAGTTCTACCAGAGATCCAGTCCTCCCTACACAGATTCTTAAAACCACACAGAACGAGACTGGTATATTTGAACAACAGGAACCCAAGCACAAAGACTGAACCCAAAGCACCAAGGTCTACATCCTCTCAAGGGAAGGTGAAATAATAATAATTTATGTAATGATGATAATACAAGAAGTCTACACATCCACACTGACACTATCCTGCGGGTTAACCGAACCCCTCCACCTGCTTGAGTCCTACTCCCGCCTTGGCACAAACAGCGCCATTAGGCACACAGGCTGTCTCCTCTCCCACTCTCTGAAATGTCAGTTCTAGGGAGGCTGCAGCCTGACCTTGCATGTCAACAGCTGATTAAAACAGTCGTTTTTACGGCCTGCTCTAGACACGCACATATTATCAGAACTAATTAGGAACCATTGATAGTGGTGTGAAAAGGTCCAGTGAACTCTCGGGAGTCATAAGTCACTAACAACCCTAACCTGTCAGACAAGCCATGCACCCGCCTACTACAAACCCCTCTTTACCTGCAAAGTCACGCAAGAGAGAGCTTTCCCTCGAGCCTGTGCACTTCTTCACCCAGTTATGTGCTTTCTGTTGGATCTGAAACGGATCAAGGCAGTGAGTCTGAGCCTGCCACCCTACAAATCAAGCTTTCTCTCTGGGTCTACGTGGTGTGCTGCGTGCATGTGCACCCCCCTCTCCCATTCTGAGGGCTCTCTGGAGGCAGACTGAGCATTTTCTGCTACCTGTCTCCTCGGCACTTAAGGGTACAGAACTCACAGTACAGGGAGAGGAGAGCTCACCCCAAACCCTGGCTGGTTAAATGCTACAGCAGAGAGCTGCACATCAATGACCAGCCTCTCACTGATCTGGGCCGGGGAAGTGGGGTGAGGGGGTCACCGTTGACGAACCGGCACACTTTGTAGCCTAGGGAAAGACAAGGCCAGGATTCCTTCCTGCTCAGTCTGCCAGTTACAGGGTCTAGGATTCCACCATACCCTACTCAGTTTCTCTGAAAGGAATGTGCAAGCACCACAAAATGTTCCTTTTCCATATTCACACACAAAGTCCAACCAGTCAGACTGGCTTATCAGAAACAGGCAGAGGGAATAAAATAAACTCCAAAGGAAGGGAACCGAGAACATAGCGTGTAAATTGCAAACAATAACACTGCCAAACCTGAACACGAGCCAAGCCTAATTATGTTTGGGTTGGAAGGTGGATCCTTATTGTTCAGGAACCAAAGCAGTAAGATCAGTTGGTAGGGTTTCTCTTAGTATGTATTTTACAGCTGTCGGCGAAACCAGAAAGGGGGACAGGATTATAGCCAGTTCGTGACAAGAAGAGCACATCTTAGGATCTAATTAACCTTAAGGTATCAAGGAAAACGACTCAGGCACACCCCATAAGGCTAGGAGCTCACTCTGCAGCACAAAGCTGCGAGAGCAATACAGCCTCGTTGGCCAGCAGCCCGGTGCCTGCTGTGGCCTCCCCATCTTCAGGCCTTTGTCACTTCCACACGGCTCCTTCCACTACATACTATTTCAGGCCTCTGCCTCCCTTATGGACATATATACACACTCTCACACCCTCAAGCACCATGTCCAAACCTTCTCCAGCGGCCTCAGCATGTACATCCCTCCCTGTCCCTCAAACCTCCCAGCCTTTCGGTTATGTAACAAGGCTCCCACCACAAAGTGTCATCTCAGATCTAAACTCAATCCTCACACAGACATGGCCCTTTGGTTACAAAGGCTGTGTGCATCCCAGGTCTTATCAATGAGGAGCACAGCTCATTAACGGGCATGGTGATTTCTCCGGGGCTATGAATGCTGATTCCATTTTGTGGTGGTCACTCAACTGTGGGGCAATATCACACTGGTTGGGTTTTGTTTTGAAGTTTTTATTTTAATCACCCAGTGCTCCTCACAACAAGTGCACTCCTTAATCCCCATCATTCTACTTGACCCATCCCCATACCACCTCCCCTCTAATAACCATCGGTTTGTTCTCTGTAGTTAAACACACTGGTTCTTCTTTGGAGTAAAAACCACCGGTAAGTTCATACCCTCAGACCCACAGTGTACAAGAAGGCCCCTGTAGATTTACATTAAAGCTACCACAAAATGAAATTTGGTGTCCAGTGTATCCCTGAAAGAAGAATGTGTTACAGGAAGCCTAAACACTCTTAATACTCTTTATTAGGGCCCATGATCTGGGCCCTGTTCACTTTACCCCTTTCACCTTAAATCCCAACTCCCACCATGCTCCAAGGCACCCTGGCTGCCTTTTGGCTCCTAAACACCTCACCTCCCTTCTGGCCTTAGGAAGCCTGTCCCCTCTCTGGGGCCTCTCTTCTCTCTTCCAATGCTCTACCCACACTCAAGGCTGGTTCCTCATTCTTCAGGTCTCAGCTTAAAGAGCCCTCAGTCTCAGCATGCTACTTATTTCCTTCACTGTGCTGAATACAACTTGTAAACAACTGGGGGTTTTTTTGTTTTTTGTTTTTTGTTTTGGACTATCTACTTTGCCAGACTGTAAACTCCATGAAGGCAGGGACCATGTATGTCTCATTTGCTGCTGTAACCTGTTCTTCTTTGTACCTTCAGTGTTAGCACGGGGCCTGGTGGAGGGTCTACATCAATAGGTGTTGAATTAACGAATGAATGGGAAAGGACACCTATAAAACAGCCTCAGCGCCTTCCATTCTGCAGCTGGACAACAGCCCAGCTGTAACCAAAGGTTAAGTGTGGGTAAGAGGTTTTGGATTCTCTCCTCACGTCTTCCTTCCTCCATTTACAACAACTAGACCAACGCCCTGTCCACAATGGACCTCATTCCTTCAGGTTAAAGCTCCACTGGAACAAGCCTTGGACTCAAGGGTGTAAAGGACTTCCTGACAAGATTACTTCTTAATTATGAAGGGGAGAAGGAGCTTTATGAAGAAGATATCCGGTGGACAATACCTTACCAAGTGATTAAGTCAGCCCCAGTGGTGAGACAAACTGACACTGTCTATTCTTATGATGTGATACCCTGAATAGAACAGAGCCCCACCAAAATCCTGGGAAAAATGTGTTAACACGAATCACATCAAGAGGAAACAATCAATCAGTAAATAAAACTAAGGAGTATAGGGGCGCCTGGGTGGCGCAGTCGGTTAAGCGTCCGACTTCAGCCAGGTCACGATCTCACGGTCTGTGAGTTCGAGCCCCGCGTCAGGCTCTGGGCTGATGGCTCAGAGCCTGGAGCCTGTTTCCGATTCTGTGTCTCCCTCTCTCTCTGCCCCTCCCCCGTTCATGCTCTGTCTCTCTCTGTCCCAAAAATAAATAAAAACGTTGAAAAAAAAATTTTTTTAAAAAGTTTCCTGAGAGCCATCTCACCGTGTGGTTGTACACACAGCACCGTGCTGAGCGCACAGGGAAGCAAGCAGGGGTAATGGAAGGAAGTAGGAGTGCTCCAACTAAACCTCAAAGGTTCAGGTGTGTACTTGCATTTATATACAAACTAAATGTGGCAAAATGTTAAGTGAATCTAAAGGAAAAGCGCACGGTGTTCGAAAAGCGCATTGGTGTTCGTTA